GGTGTCATTGCCTCGCTTTCCGGAAACGGGCGGAAACCCAAAGGGAAAAACCAGAGGGAAATCTAGCATTTTCATAATTTCACAATTTTTCATATTATGAAAATGAAAATGGTAGATTTATGAAAAATTATCATTCTTATTCAATCACTATTCAATCACTATTCAATCACTATTCATATCATTCTTATTCAATCTTCATCAATTTTCCATGTTTCAATGGAAACAAGTATCAATATTCATCCATGTTCAATGTTCATCAATTTTCATCCCCTAAAGATGTTCATACACTTGTGAATTAAGACACAGTCTCCACTGTTCTCCTTGGGACATGTCCTCTTCCTCAGTGCCAGACGGCCACACCCAGTCCAGCAGGTGTCCGTGGCCTTGCGTTTCTTGCGTTGAGCCCCGTTCATTTCGATCCCCGCACCGTGAATCTTGAGTCAACAAATAATAATGATGGTGAATATCATGATTGATAATGATGATTTATATTACCAATAATCACTCATGTTGCATAACCATCTTAATGCTTTATAAGCGACCTGAATGGTGATCAATGGTGAATAATGATGTCTGATAAGTATGATTGATGGGATTACAAAAGTTAATGATGGTGACTATGATTAATTATTATAAGCGAATTAATAATGGTATGATTATAATCCCGTTAGTGATTGGTGATTAATGATTAATGGTGAATCATTATCAATGGTGAATAATTATAATATATTATAATGATTAATAGTCCGCAACAGATCTTCATCTCACATCCATGGTAAATCATTATAATCCCATTAATCATCATTATATAGTGGTCAATGGTGAATAATGATTATATATAATATATTATAACCATCTTCATTACTGTGATGATTATATCATGGGATTATAATGCTTCATGATGAATGGTAAATATGATGAATGGTTAATTTCACGACGACCAGCTGGGAAGAAAACCCCAACCTGGTGACATCAACATTATTTCAAGCTGGGAAATCCACCAGCCATGGTTCGGTTTGTTCGTTCGCTGGGAACGTCTCATCGTTGACTGAAGAAGCCGAGCTCTGAGATCTTGACTGATGTTGAGGTTGCTGCTGTTGGGTGCTCTCGGGGTAGTGAATTGAAATGAGCTCCTGGCAGAGGCATGGTTTTTTTCCTTTCGGGATGATGTCCAGGGATGGCACACTTAAATACGTTATAATATGTTATAATGTGGGTAACACAATAATAAGCCATTCCCAGTCATGGGTGGTTTATTATTGTTTTAACCACATTAATATGTCTAGTACAAATTAGTGGGCAAATTCTATTTCAGATACTTCAGTCTTACAACTTCTGTGAAGCTACTCTGGGCCCCAGTGACAAACATTCAGAGTCATCGTACAGTGTGACTGGTCTAGAAGGTGATCCGAGCCCTTTAGGGCCTCCCACTTTTTGCTCATTTCTTCCATCGTATGTTCAGAGGCCTTGGGGCGAGCCGTGAAGCTGCCACTGGGACACCGGAAATTCCAGTCACTGATCCAGGACAATCACCAAGCAGCCCAACTTCCGAAAAAAAAATATTAAAAAAAAGTACTTCCAATTTCTATTCCAAATATGGCTGCAACTTGCAAATACTAGTTCAGGTGTAGAACAACACAGCATGACTTTCACGCGAAGATGGGGCCGTTTGTATGTTGTAATGATTTTTAGGTTGATGTTCAATACGTGTTCCTTACCATTGATGTTGTGCGTGAGGGTTTCCAAGGATGATTTGACGCAAATTTTCATCAGTGGCTGGGTTCATCTCTCCGTCCATACATCATTTTCCAGCTTAAATCATCCCACAGGTTTTCATTACGGCAACTTTCACTCTTGGTGTCAAAATCAGATTTCCAAGAATCAACATCTTTGGTATCGTTTGTATGTGTATAAATAAATATATATATATACTATAATTATAACATATTATAATTATAACATATATAATATATATATGTGTATGTTATATATTATATATATAATATTATAATACACACATATATATATACATTGTATATATATATATATTGTATATAATAATAATAATGATAATAATAATAATTATAATAATAATAATTATTATTATTGTTATTATTATATATATATATATATTTGTTCATCGTATTCTTCCTCTTCATACAATGTGGTTCAATTACTGATACATGGTCTAATTTTGAACATACAATTCTTGATCTGGGGATCTTCTCGTGTACTTTTCCTTTAAATAGCTTTGCGTTTTCACAGGGATGCATGTATTCTGGCTATTTTCCGATGCGTAAGATATGCAATTCTATTGTATTGCAATGGATTTGCTTTACCCGCTGGTCTGTATCAAACTACGCGTGTATCAATTCGTTTCTCACAATTTAAAGCACTCAATTCTGTTGTGACATTGTGGTCTCCTATTTCTTTCTCTACAACTTTCGCAGGTCATCGAGGTTCTTGGCAACGTATGCTGCGCAATCATCAGCTGATCTGCTCTTGGGTCTGCCGCCGATGCAAGGCGTGATGCCACGGACACTGGTTGAACATCTCTAACCACAATTGTTCCATATTGTTCCCAAGGAAGAAACATTGAAAAACATTGTGAAAGCCAAAACAGTCGCAACATTTCAATTGTGGCAGTATTCCCCATTTTTCACCTATTTTTTGTGGGGTCTAAATGATCCTTTCTGGCCGAGATCTTTCCTTCAAGCTTCCGCACAATTCGTTTCCGAGGCTTTTGAAGACCATCGCCTGAAGGTGATGCTGCCTGTTTGTTCAAAGGGAGCTGTATTATGGTTGGTAAATATTGGGATCATATATGGTACTTAACTATACTGAACTGGTTATCCCAAACATGTACAGTCTGTACAGTGCTAATTTAAGACAGTAGACACAGGATTTCATTTACCCAGCCTTGCTCCGTGTTCCTCCACTGCACGTAGTTCTTGTAGATTTCGCTCCCCAAATTCCTCCGAGTGGAACAATACCAACAGCAGCATCAACAACAACCACAACCACAACCACAAACAAAAACAGCTGGGGCATTGAGTCCCTGCCAAATTGCCAACCATAGGATAGTGTTGATGGGTGCTACACTCCTCGTCCCAGATGCCTACCACGTTGGACGTTCTCCACGGTTTGCATGTAGAGCGTGCAAAGTTTGTAAGTCGAGTCATGTTTCAAATCAAACAGAAACTACGAATACTACGGGATTGTTCCAAACATTTCCAAACTCCAAATCTGGAAGCCCACCCACCATCCCGTGATTTGTCATTGGCCGGTTCCCCCTCCACCGCTTTGCCTGGAAGCCTCCAGTTGAAGGAACTTCCGCAGCTCTTTGTCTGCGGACAGCGTGTACCTTTGATCCCAGGTCTCAAAGGATGATCATTTCGATGAGGAGATGACACTAGAATGATATATATATATACACATATGTATATATAATTATATATATATATAGAGTACCAGAATATAATGTATATTTATAGATGATGATATGTATATATATATAATTAGATATATTACAAGTATATACTATGATATACTGATATGATCTGATATGATTGATATGCTCATACATGTAAAATCAAATGACACCAGATAGAACTGATGATCGAAGTGAATCTTGACGAATCATCTAAGGTCTGCGAATGCCACTGGGGCGCGTCGTCTTCACCAACTTCAAGACTGCGGAGAGTCGCGCAACCTGACGCTGATTCACTGGCTGATCACCCATAGGCCAGCTTAGATGTTTCAACCATACAGTTTTGTTATGTTTTGTTATGTTTTGTTCATCTATAGCAAAACATGTAGTACTCGACATATTTCCATTCACATTTTCTGATATTTTGCAATTGATCATGTTTGAGGTACTGACCCAATTTGTTTTGGAGATCGCCGTTCCTTGATGCAAAAACTCACAACTCAGGCGCACTGAAACTTCCATGATCTTCCAAGACTGATTCATGTCTCGCAATAGCGAATGTAAACATTTGCCATCCGCATATGTCAGCCTGAGCTCCCTGCGAGAGCTCATGTCAGGCTTCCACTTGTACAGTTGTTTCAGCTTTTTGAAAATCTCGGACACGCCTGCGGTGCACTGATTCCATGCGAGGTGGCTGGGAATGCAGTCAGCTTCCAGATCTTCCAGCTAAATTCAAGACCCTAGACTTAGACCCTTCTGTTGCTATGTGGTGAAAAATATGTTGTACATGGCATTCCCAGCTGACCTCATTCATAGCATGGCAGCCAAAGACTCAAACTCAAGTTCCACTGAGCTGATCGCCTTGTCGCACCATGGCCAAGTCGTAGATTTCAAGCCTCTGATCCATGGATCCATGATTCAATGACCTCATGGCTGTCATCCTTCAACATCGCTTCGCTCCCTATCCCTTAAGATGTTTGATTGGGAGAATTCCCTTGCAAATCCTTTGGATCCCTTTAAAATCCTCCCTGTTTCCATGGAAAAACATCGGGAGTTTTCTCCAAGGTCTCAGTTCTTTGGCCCGCGCTTCTGACCGCTTTCTTTCTCGAGTGGCTTTTTGCCTGGCGCCAGGACTGGCGCAACGCCTTCAAGTACAGTTCCATCCCACATTCATGGTGATTCCAAGATGCTCAAAGGTATTCCAAGAAAAAAACATCAAGAAAACATAAGAAAACATCAAGATACATCAAGCAACACCTGGCCTGTCAAACGGGGATAGATACTTATTTGATGTCATTGCAAAAGTGTCGTGTCGCGCACCTGGAAGCAAATCCTCCTCGTTGAGGTATGGTCTGGGTCACAACATCGGCTTCGCCAAGTCATCAAAATGATCAAATCAAAGGACACAACTGCAGTACTTGTGACATGGCTTTGTCTGAAAATACAGGGTTGCTCCCACCCCAGATACAACTGGGGAACACCGGATAAAGATGATAAAGAGGTAAAATGACCAGTTTTCCCCCCGTGCCCATCATTTACCTATGATTTGAGCAATCCTGAAATAGGATCATCGTCAGGATCCCGAATAATTTATATAAATTGGGGGGGGCGGTACCATATTTTCAGACACCACATGCAGCCTGGCTCACTTCCACAGCATCAATGATGGCGCCTCAAACGTTGAGTGAAATTAAGATATTCTCGAAGCTTTCCACCTCAACGCGCGATGTCGAGCTGATTCGTGCTCTAGTCACTATAGTCCCCATGACTTCTCAATGAGTCTCTCCAAGCGCTGCACTTCTTTCTTCTCTTACCTCTACCTGGACAGTAAGAAACATCAACGCCCTCCAAATAAAGCTATCTATCTATCTATCTATCTACCCATCCAGTCTAATCTACCTATCTAATCTAATCTACCTAGCTAATCTAATCTAACCTACCAATCTAATCTACTCTACCTATCTAAGCTAATCAAATCTAACCTGATCTAATTGAATCGAATCCAATCTATTCTAATCTAACTATGCTATCTATCTCATCAATCTCACCTATCTCACCTATCTGATTTGTCTTACCTAATCTGATCTATCTGATCTATCTGATTTATCTGATCTATCTGATCTATCTATCCGATACAGTTCGCAAACAAAACAGATACATACAAATAATATGGCCCATCAAAGACCAATACTTTCAACTTTTAGCGCCGGTCTGTTGCAACACCTTGGCCATCAATTCACACCATTGCAACTCGACATCGCGTTCGATGCTGAGCAGCACCTGTCGAGGCACCAAGCTGTTCGGTATTTCTGGAACAGATTGATTGCTTCACAAGTCTGACAATTGTAGCTGCTTGATGCTGATGCTATTTGGAATCAATCCTCGCTACGGCTGTGTCTCAGGAGCATCGGCCTGTATCTGCCGATTCAGCCCCAGCATATGCAGCAACATCATGTCCTCCTGATATGTGTGGACAATGTGCCATGACTGGTGGAACTGCGGGCCTTTTTCGATTTGAGAATCTGCAATGAGGCAACACATGGGAAAACATGGTAAAACTACAGCCATATTGCGTCCAAACTCATAAATAAACATAAATAATCTGTAAACTATAAGTAAGAAAGATTAGTAAACCCGTACGACAAAGGAGCGCTGTGGAAATCACCAGCACGTTGGCCGATGCTGGTGAGCCTCTCTTGGAGCCAATTTCCACTCTGCTGCTAGGCGATTCAAGCACGACTTAGCGAGGCAGTGGAGGAACAACTGAACAACACGGGTCTGACAGACCTCTGCCAAGCACTGCTACACTATGAGTTTGTAGATGCTTGTAGTATATGGCTGGAAATGCCTGGAACCCAAACTTACCATATTTCATTTGGAGACTTTGACGAAGTGCGGATTTACCGTCCAAAATAGGACAGAGGATCAGATCAACAATGCGCAGATCTGGGATAACATATGCGCACACTGAAATCCCGCTTTCGTCTGTACCAGCGATGATCCTCATTTCGTGTGTGCAGTCGAACCCTCACCAAAATAAGGGCTTTTTGGGTCCCATCTGGATATGTTTGTACGATTTATTTGCACATCTTGCGTAGTTGTATTGGCAAATTGCCCTTGAACACCTGTCACCATAATTGTCTCTGTCTCACAGAGCACCCTCTTGGAAGCCAGCAGTCTGTGCCAGAATTAGTGATGCCAATGTCAATTTGTAGATTCTTGCAACGTCAACTACCCCAAGTCAACAACGATTCAAGTCCAAGTATGTAGTGGTATTGAGCGACTTCCAAAGTCAGAGAACATCTAGACAGGATAATCCTCATTTTTTGTCTTGTGGAAACGGCATAGGCTCTGTGGCACAGGCATTGTTCTTGTTGTTTCCCTGTACATCAGGAGTGCTCCCGCCCTCAGAATCTGACAGATTTGGATTTGCGAAGGTGTTCCACATCTGCGTCCAACGTCTGCTTAGCCTTGGCCAAGGATTCATTGTGCTTGGCTTTGGATTCATAGTGCTCTGCAGTCAAACCAGCCAAAGAATACAATGTACAGCAAAATGTGGGGAACATGGTACATATATGTATAATCAACCTGACACGAACCGTCTTCCTTTGGCTCGTTCTTCTGCCATTCAGCTGCAGTCTTCGTTTCTACGGACTTTGTCCATAGTATCCAAGTCTATGTAACTCTTCGAAATCAATGACATAATGACACTACAGGTGAAGAGCAGCAAGTTTCCTTTGCTGCACCATTTGTCTGAACTTATTTGGTGCTGCCTTCTAATGCTCCGTGATTTGGTCCCTTGGGCAAACCTAAGACCGACAGTTGTTTTTCTTTAAACTTTAAACATATTTCTTTAACGAAAGAAGCTTTGGGACCCGTACTCATCTGTCAAGAATAGATAGAGATATGGATATACCAGACATACAGTATATATCAGTATATTCTGTACATACATTTTTCAACACACACATATATATGTATATATATATATTATAATTAAATTTAGAGAATTTAATAGTATAGATGTATACACATGTATTTCATTGTATTTCCACCGGCCTGTCATCTTCCCATGTTGGGCTTCCAGGGCTAGGCTTCCGGACCAGAACACAGGCATCTCGAAGACTGAGGCGACACAGCACTTCGAAGCTTCGCCATTGTTCCACCTGCTTCCTGCCATGAGCTGATGCTGACAGATTCAACTCATGGGCTACATGCTGAAGTCTCAAAACCTATGGCTTTTCACATGTTGTGACATGTTTTCCCAAGTAAATGGATACACATCAATAACCGCTGGTTGTTTTGGTGTACAAACTAGGGTCTTGGTCCATCCTCAGATGTGCAAATCAGGAAACATGAGCATATCTGAGCATATCTTAGCTAGTTGTAGCTGTTTCCATCTGTTTCCACATCTTTGAATCTTGTGATCACCAAATGTCACCAATCTTGGATACGGTTTCCAGTAACTTCAGCCTTTCCAATCACAATATATCACAATACTAAATCCAACACCAGGCTGAGCTTAGTGCGCTATACTGTTGAAGAGCTCTTCTTTGGCATCCCACCTGGATGGCCACTGGGAACAACTCATGAGTTGATCAAACTGGGGAAAGTTTGCAGCTCTTGGGCATCAAACACTCGTTTGAGGATGGCAACGTACTCACAACAGTGCACCTCAGTTGACTGATCACAGATCACCTGAGGAAACTTCATGTCTTGAAAGGCTGCATGTCAAGAGCCATGGCCCAAGAAACCTCAAGACTCTCATGGTCAACTTAAACATCCCTATGTCCATGTATGTGCTTACGTACGTATGGAGGTATGCATGTATATGGTGTGAATGGTGCATGTGAATATATATATAATATATACAATATTATAATTAATATCTTTGTATGTGTGTAATGTCTGCATATGTAATCACATGCAAAACATATTATATACATTTATAATCATTTATATACATGTTGTGTAATTATCTTTGGCATATCATCTTTGGTCTTTGGCTGCTGGTACATTCCTTTTTGTCCAGGCCAAAAAGGCTCGGGCCAAGCCCATGATCTTCACCGTGGCAGGGATCTGGGCGCATGAACCACGGAATTTTGCCACATGAAGTTTGGGTTTCTCATGGTTTTCATTTTCTGACATGACATAGAGGAAAAATGGATGCCATTGACTATTCTCACTTCCCTGTTTGATCCTGATTCGAGTCAGGAAGGTCTTGGTCCGCCCACGCTCAGATTACAACACTTATTCTCAGTCTGGGAGCCGGCGGTGTGATGGGGTATACCAACCAAATACCAGAAGTAATATGAAGTAATTACTCAATTTAGCCTTAGCCTTTTCTCCAGATGCGAGCCAGCACCAAATCTCAGAACATCTCAGAACACATCTTAGTCTGCACTATTGTTTCCCATTTCCATAGTCACTTGAAGCGAAAGACATGAACATTTCATGACTTAGTTTGAATATGTTTGAATCGAGACTCTTCTCCACTCTTGGGATCCAGCATCCAGGAAAAGGGTGTCAATGTTTTGACCCAAGTCTTCCTTCGCTTTTGAGGCGTGAGGAAAGACAAAAACATCGTTGGGTCGTTACAATCGCTGGGGCCAGCGAAAAATCATGTCATTTCATGTCATTTTTACGAGACATCGATGTTGAAATTGAGCCACTGGATGCGAACTGGCTGCAGATGGTCTCCATGTTTGCACAACTATTCCAGTATTTTGGCACACGATTCGATATTCTCCACCAAAAGGATGATTCACGCATAACTCATACAATATGGATAATATGGGTTGTCTGACAACAAGGTACCCATGGACTTGATGCTTCACCATCCTTTTAGGATCTCCCAGATTTTCAGATCAATGGCCTCTTCAATCTCGACAGAGCCAACGAGCAAACTGCTGAGTTTCGTCTTCAGCTGAGAAATGATCTGCGCGCACAAGACAACATGTACATCGTTTCGCCATTTAGAATAAATCTTTGGGGTGCCTTTGCGCTCTTCCGACCCTTTCATATTGCAGTTTTTGCACTACTAGGTAGCTGTTATCTTCAAGATTGTCTTGGGTGCATCGTACTGCCTACTAGGCAGGGGAAAAAATGCCAGAGGCATTCCATCCATCGAGCTGCTCCAGATGAGATGTGGAGATTATGCCCCTATAAACCTACAATTCAACAAGAGCTCCAAGAATACACCACAACATGTGCTTACAACATCCAAGAATACACCACAACATGTGCTTACAACATGTGCTCAAAGGAACTTGTTGCTCCAAGTATCGATCAAACAGTTTCGGCCTATCACCCACTTGTACTGTTCAAAAATGGTGCCCCACTACAAAGCTCGGCTGCAAAGAATGTAGGCATGCACAGCAAGAAGAGTTCCAATCTGTCCGACTCAACCACTGCAAAGTCAAGCCAAGACATGCGCAACAATAGCTGCCCTGATGGCCCGCCTCTGGAGCGATCTCTTTTCGGAGCTTCAAATCTGGGATCTTCGCATCTGCCTCACCAAATGTACAGCATATACACCAAATAGCAAGAACATAACATCACAGTACATATGTACCACGATAATATATCAACTCTAGTATTGTCATGATAAATCAACGGATTGGAGGGATATTTCAACTCAAAAGAGGCAAAACAAATCCTGCAGGCTCACTTCCCAGCCAGTCCCTTCAAAACCAGCACCCCTTGCGCCTTTTTCAACATCAAGTGCGGTGGCACCTCATTCCCAATGACCCCCTACATTACACATCATTACACTATGTTACAGTACTCTCCAAGTGATAGTGCACCCTTGGTCTATGATACTCAGGTATGGATGAACATTATCAACCTCAAAATGGTCGTGTCATGATGTGTCATGTTGTGTCTGAAATAACGGAAAACCACAGCCACCATCCACTGATTTATCATCATTCCCATAAAAAGGGCTGCTCGAGGGGTCATCTCAGAAGGCAGTTGACCAGACTCTGACTCGGGCAGCCCCACAGTCCTGCAGGCATTCCGCATGTCGTCCACCTCCTGAAACAATGGTTTTGCCTGAAAAACTCGGAAAACCTCAAATTCTCAGTAGTTTTTCATCGTTTGCCTTATTCAAAAGGCTAGACATTGGGGCATCCCTCATTTTTGGACTAATCCATATTTCAAGGGTGGACACCCAGGGATGGACACGAATGGAAAATAAACATTTGCTCCTGCGTGGTCAACATAGACAGACAGATGGAATTCAAGTCCGGCCTTGGGACACTAGTCAAATGACCAGTGTTTCATTCCGACTCTGATTCATGAGTCAAACCTCGTCACATCTCGTCACTCATAAAAGACACCAGGTATAAATTTGTCTATATACACAATATACACAAATGTATATTATATACATATGGTCGTCGACAGAATTCTGAAAATGGAAAAAAAAGGTTCCGCATGGGTCGGTAATAATTCTGTTTTACTCATAAAAGTGCAGAAATCTAAAATCTCTCTTATCGTTTCTCCCGAGCCTTTTGCGGGTGCTTCTTGGAATTGGACTATTTCCATAATTTTGCGGGTGACAACTTTTCTATTGACACGTTTCCAAAATTCTTTTGGCCATGGCCACGGCGCATAATTTATGGTAACCCTTATGACTTATGACCATGCAAATATGCTGTAAACCAGGTGGTTTGGAGGATAAAGATCCCAGTCCCAAGATCATGCAAATACACTGTAAACCAGGTGGTTTGGAGGATAAGGGTCCCAAAACTGAATCTGGATTTAGTCCCAAGATCATGCAAATACGCTGTAAACCAAGTGGTTTAGAGGATAAGGATCCCAAAACTGAATTTAGATTTAGTCCCAAAATCATGCAAAAACACTCAAAACCAGGTAGTTTGGAGGATCAGGATCCGAAAAGTGAAATTTCCAAAATTAAATTCGCATCGTGCTTTTGTAGACATTTGTCTAATCTTTCATTTTTTGGCGGATCAGGATCCGAAAACTGAATCTACATTTAGTTCCAAGATCACGCAAATACGCTGTAAACCAGGTGGTTTAGAGGATAAGGATCCCAAAACTGAATCGGGATTTAATCCGAAAAATCATGCAGAAACACTCAAAACCAGGTAGTTTGGAGGATCAGGATCCGAAAAGTGAGATTTCCAGAATTAAACTCACATCGTGAAAGAATTAAAAGCTCTTGTAGACATTTGTCTCATCTTTTTTTGGGGGGGATCAGGATCTGAAAACTGAATCTAGGTTTAATCCCAAGATCATGCAAATACGCTGTAAACCAGGTAGTTTGGAGGATCAGGATCCGAAAATTGCCATTTCCAAAAATATTTTTTTTGATCGGTCTTATCGGTCCGATTGCATCTTTTTTTCGGGGCCGAACCTTTTCCGATACCTGTGGCGCGCGAACCTTTTTTCATTTCCATAATTCTGTCGATGACTGTAAATTAAATACCATATATTATATATATAAAACAAAACACAATAAATGATATAATATATATATATTGTATAAATAAACTATATAATATATATATATATACATATATAATATATTAAATATATGATCTATAAATTATATTTAAAAATGTATGATAAACATATTTATATTATATATTAAAATGCATATTTTATAATTAAAAATATTTAACAAAAATACAAGATAAACATATATATATATATTATGTAATATTGAAAATATATCATATACAGTAATCAGTCAAAAATAAGTAATATATAATTTCTAACACATATCAAAAATATATAATATATAATATCAAAAAATAATACGCAATAAATAATATAATATCTATATATGTTATGTATACATACATACATACATACATCCATACATCCATGCATACATACATACATACATACATACATTTCATTGCATTGCATTGCGTTGCGTTGCGTTGCATTGCATTGCATTGCATTACATTACATTACATTACATTACATACATATATAGGAAGAGGGTCTAAAATCTTCCCAATGATCTTTCAGTGATCTTCCGAGCACCATGGGAAATCATGGCTTTTGCCATCAGTCATAGAGGCTTTCAAAAACAAAGTTTCCCATCAACCAATCCTGGAAATTGGATATCGCCATGGTGCTTGCCCCCCCATAAGTTGGGACATTTAATTTAATCCCTATCCTTTTCGGCCACCCACACAAATTCAGCGGGCATACTGCACCCCAATGATACCCTTCTCCATCATTGTCCCCATCTCAAAATTGCCATAAGTTGTGGGAAGATTGCCAATGGGAAATCACGTTTTGCCAAAATATGACAGAATATTCTTGGTTCTCCCATTATATCAACAAAACACGACAAAAACAACAACACCCCAAAAATATCAACATACTGTAGATGGTTGCGAAATAGTGCTCCAGTTGATAGATGGCATATAAACATCCCATTATTTAGAAGATTTCTTCCATCCACAGTATATCCAACGTTCGCTATCCCATCCCATTTTTGTCACCGCTGAGCTCAGGTCGGAAGAACTTCCATGTCCAAGGCCTGAGCCTGTGGGGTAATGATCGTATTCCCATATAAAGTAGGATAAGAAGAGATAAGGCGATGACATTTGATTAGATTAGATTAGGTAAGTTGGATTGGATTGATTGGATTGGGTTGGGCCAGATAAGTTTGGGGGTGCATGGTATACACTGCGTGATAAAATTCGCCGACCCCAGCCGACGGCAAGGGGATGCGCGTCAGAGAAGATAGAGAAGAGATGGCAAGCAGCAAATGTCGACGAGCAGGAAGCAGAGAGAAAACAGGGAGCAAGAAACTATAGAAAGCAAGAGACGGAGCTAGGGGGAAAATAGATGGACGGCAGGGGGAGCGCGTCAGAGAAGATGGGACACGACACAAGGAGCAAGAACAAGAATCCGCCGACCCCTGCCGACGGCAAGGGGGAGCGCATTAGAGAAGATAGTACAAGCAGCAAGTTTCGAGAAGCTTGTCAGCAAGGGGAAGAACAGAAGCAAGCAGGAAGCACAGAAACTGAAGCAAAAGCAAGGAGCAAGAAAACAAGCTGAAAGAGCAAGGGCAAAAGCAAGCAAGCTGCAAGAGTACGAGCCAGGAAGAGGCAAGAGGCAAGCGAAATCCGAAGCGAAGGTCAATGGCGACGGCGCCGCTTCGGAGGCCTGGGAGCTGCATTTTGGAGCTAGTGTCTTGTCGGTTCATGAAGCGACGTTAGGCACTCTGGGTCGCTGGCCCCGCATGCTGTTTGGGTGTGGTGAAGGCGGCGTTTTTGAGGCATGGGAGCTGCTTTTTGGAGCTATAGGCTATAGAATTAATTAACGGTTTAGAAAGCGACGTTATAAAAGGCGCTATGAGGTGCCGGCCCCGTGCCTGATCCGTCCTTTAGTAGCATGCTGTTTGGGCGTGGCGAAGGTGCCGTTTTTGAAGTCTGAGGGCTGCTTTTTGGAGCTAATTTCTTTTCGGTTCAGAAAGCGATGTTGGGGACTATGAGCTGCCGGCCCCGTCCCCGGTCCGTTCTTAGTAGCATGCTTGGGCCTGGCGAAGGCGCCGTTTTTGAGGCCTGGGAGCTGGTTAGCATGCTGTTTTGAGGCCTGGGAGCTGCTTTTTGGAGCTCGTTTCTTGTCGGTTCAGACAGCGAAGTTAGGGAGTATGAGGTGGCGGCCCCGTGCGCGATCCGTCTTTTAGTAGCATGCTGTTTGGGCGTGGCGAAGGCGCCATCTCTGAGACCTAAGAGCTGCTAGTCTCTAGTCGGTTCAGAAAGCGACGTTAGGTGTTTGGGCGTGGCGAAGGCGCCGTTTTGAGGCCTGGGAGCTGCTGTTTGGAGCTAGTGTCTTGTCGCTTCAGAAAGCGACGCAAGGGGCTCTGGGCCGCCCGTGCCCGATCCATCCTTCAGCTGTTTGGGTGCATTTTGGATCTAGCATCTTGTCGGTTCAGAAATAATATCTTGTCGGTTTAGAAAGCGACATGGGCCGCAAGCCCCAGTAGCATCGCTTTTGAGACCTGGGAGCTGCATTTTGGAGCTAGTGTCTTGTCGGTTCGGAAAGCGACGTCAGGCGCTATGAGCTGCCGGCCCCGTCCCCGATCCGTCCTCTACTAGCATGCTGTGCGCCCTTGCCACCGAACTTTCCCCAAAATCGTTCACTCTGGTGGTGTTTTCACGTTTTTCGGGTTCCGGGGTCGGAAAAAAAGAGACAAAAATGACAAGATGCTTTTTGGAGGTTGTTTTGGGCACTTTTTGGCGGATTTTTTGCTGTTTTTTTGGTGCGCACCAAGCGCCAAAACATTGTAAATGGATGAAATGCTTCTTGCAACATGCTGAAAACTGCGTAACTACAAGTGTTTTTGCTAGGCACTAGCCAAAAAACATTGTAAATACGGTGATTTTTGCTACCAGAAGCAAAAAACATCGTAAATACCGTTGTTTTTGGCTCCCGCGGCGGTGTTTACGGTGATATTTTCAAAAAACGTGAAAGCACAACCTATTTGAAGATTTTCGGCCACTACGAGGCTGAGAAAAAAGCTGCAGGGGTAACAGCAGCAACAACACCACCACCACCAGCAGCAGCAACAGCAGCAGAAACAAGAAACAAGAAACAAGAAACAAGAACCAACAACCAACAACCAACAACCGATGACGACGACGACGACGACGACAACAACAACAACAAAACCAACAACCAACAACAACCAACAACCAACAACAACCACAACCAACCACAACAACGACAGCAACAGCAACAACAATAACACTTATTACAACTGCAACTACAACTGCAACTACAACTGCTACAACCACAACCGTAACCACAACAACCAACAACAATCAACAACAACGAGCAATAATTAACAACAACCAACAACAACCAGCAACAACCAACAACAACCAACAACGACGAGCAGCAACCACAACAACCAACAACAACCAACAGAACCAACAAAACCAACAAAACCAACAAAACCAACAAAACCAACAACACCAACAACACCAACAACACCAACAACACCAACACCAACACCAACACCACCAACAACAACAACAACAAAACCAAGAACCAAGAACCAAGAAGCAAGAAGCAAGAACCAACAACAACCAACAACCAACAAGCAACAACCAACAACAACCAACAACCAACAACAACCAACAACCAACAACCAACAACCAACAACAACCACAACCACAGCAACAGCAGCAACAACAACAACAACAGCAACAGCAACAACAACAACAAAACCAACAAAACCAACAAAACCAACAACC